TATCATTATAAATTATTATCATCACTTCTAATAAATGTTGTTGAACAATGCTGTTGAAAGAATGTTAATAAGAAAAAACATTAAAAATGGAATATATTACAGTCAAAGTACCAGTACAGTACAAACACTTTAAACTGTGCAACATAAATACCACTAAACAACACTAAATTCTGCTAATTCTATTGTTTTCTATTGTTAAATTAACACTATTTTGTAGTAAATAGTGGTAAGTGTTGCACACATATAATGTTTGTAGAGTGATCGCACTTAAAGCGTGCAACTGTACAAAATCTAAGTAGTATYAATTTGTACTAAAAGTGGACCTGAAGCAAGAAGGTATTGAAYGCATCATTTGTATCAATTCAATTTAATTTGCGTATCGCATGCACGATTTACTAAATACAACTAAAAAGAAATTTTTGATAAATAACGCACGCTCTGATTGGCTGATGACCGTGTTTATATCAGAGGAGAGAGACACGGCTAACCAGCAAAATTTTCTTTTTGCTCGAAAAATTTTATGAAAGAAATATAAAACGGCTGCTTGTGTCTCTGTCCTCTGATATAAACGCAGTGAGAGTTGAAAAACACTCAAGAAGCAAGAGAAACACTTGCTACACTTGTGTTCCTAAGTTGCTTCTCTAGTGTTTTTCGAACTCCCACCATGTTTATATCAGAGGACAGAGACACGCGCACCGTTTTATATTTCTTAAATTTAGTTTGTACAGTTGCACGGATTAAGTGCGATCACTCTACTCTACCAGTTTTTAAGTGAATGCTTAAATATGTGAAGATGACCACTAAGTCCCACTGGGTTAGCAGTTCTAGTATAACCATCATAGAATGGGTTATACATGTATAAAGGAAAAACTGCCCAAGCAATTATACATGAATTAACCAATCAGAAGGCTTCTTGTTGGAAGCTTTAGCCCACTAGATTGATGTAGCAGAGATGTTGACTTTAAGTGGCAAAGGGCCTGCTTCATCTGACTTGAGCAATGGHTGTTTTTTGCTAAGGATTCCATCTCCTTCTAGAAGATAAATGTCATCCACAAGTAAACGCTGAAAAAAAAGTTTTGGCATGATCAGATTGTCAAATACCTCAATACTGAACTGATATCTAACTTTTTTTWAAAAAACTATTACACAATAAATGTATACCTTTTCTTTATGATCTTTGTCTGAAGAACCCATCGATGAACAACAAAGCCACAGCAGAAAAGTGAATCCCATGAATAAAACAGATGTCAGCAGCCAGAAAGGTAGACCAGATCGCCTGGAAACACAGTGCAACCATGCTTTGCTTTTATCAATGGCTTTCCAAGCATAGCCATGATGATGATGATGATGATCTAAACGAAAAAATAATTACCTTAAAAAAATAGAGTGCAATTCCTTGATGTGATGCAATGCGCAAGAGACTTGTAAAGACACAAAGTAAACAACTTAACCAAAAAGTTTGATAACAAAGAGGYTATTTAGTACTGAAACTCCTGGAAACTTGTATCTCTTAAATCCAGTGGTTAGAAATAATTGTTGTGTTATCAAGATTGTGATGTGTTAAAAGAAAAACGAAAATGAAAAAAAATATAAATGTTTTAAATGAAGTAGGTCTGATTTAGGCCTTACTGCTGTGCAATTGGTAAAAACGTCTAAGCTTTCACTGTAAGGCCTCAATCAAACCAACTCCATTTTCTCTACTATGCTTGCTGCTGAAGGACAACTTCATTAGTTTAAATAAATGTCTTAAAAAAACTGCTTATATTACCATGATCATACTGTCCTCGTTTCTCCAAATGCACTTTCAATTGTGGTTCATCTTGCACTTCCTTCTCAGCACTAGAGATACTGGCAAAAAACTGAGGAGGACTATGTACTCTTACAACAAACGTCTTTCCCCCCTGAGTACTGCTGTAGAACGCTGTTGACGTCTTGACGTAATATGTGATTTGTCTGATCAGACCATGACAGTATTGCCTAGCAACCATAAAGGGTTGTACCCTTGTGTAGCCTGACACTGACCACATTCCCGCAGACAGCTTATGTTCCTGTAATGTCGTAAATAATTATTATCATTAATTATTATT